AACAATGACATTAGGGTCCTTGAAGGAAATGTGTGTGTTTTGCTTAGCTCATCCTGATCATTGAAGGCATCACAATAACAGTGAGGTGCTCTGTCAACTAAACTAGGGTACCTTGTTTCAAATGTTGCTCTTACTGCCTTCATTAAAAAGCACTCTTTGTCTTTAAACAAACTTCAAGCTTTAATTGAATAAAAACTTTTATAGTGCTCTCTCAGTCTGTGGCTTTTATTTGCTCAGACCCAACTAAAAAGAGACATTCTTCAGGTTTCATTCCCAAGAGATCGGTGGTGGTGGAAAGTGTTGTCAAGTCAGAGCTGATTTAGGCTGACCCCGTAGGGTTTTCATGGCAAGAGACGTCCAGAGGCGGTTTGCCATTGCCTGCCTCCGCGTCACGGCCCTGGAGATCTCCCATAAAAATACTAACCCCGGGCCAACCCTACTGAGCTTCTAAGATCTGATGAGACTGGGCTCACCTGGGCTATCCGGGTCAGGACAAGAGAGCAGTAGACCCCTGTAAAGACACAGCAGTCGAAGAACATAAGAACATAGCAGAAGCAAGTGTTCGATCAAGCTAATGGCCCATCCAGTCCGACAGTCTTAAGATAGAGCTGGATTTTTCACACACACAAACAAAACAGCGCATTTTCAGTGCACTTCCAATGCACTTTGCAACTGGATTTTACTGTGTGAAACCCACTTGCAAACCATCACTAAAGTGCATTGAAAGTGGAACCAAACTTTCTTTCCTTCCCCAGCCCCCCCCCCCCAGGCAGCAGGGAGGCTGGGGAAGGAAGGGTGCTCAGTTTCACCCCCCTCCCATCAGCTGTTAAACCTAACAGCTGATAGGTGGGGAGTGAAACTGACCTGAAGCGGCAGGGTGGCTTGCCCTTCCTTCCCCAGCCTCTCCGCCGCTGCAGGGGAGAGGTGCACTGGGGTGTGTGGGGAGGTTGGCATTGTCCCAGGATGGGGCAGGTCTCATCTATGGTGGGGCTTCGCCCCCAAATGCCCCGCCATGGCTACGGGCCTGACCAGGACTAACCCTGCTTAGCTTCCAAGAGCTGATGAGATTGGGCTAGCTGGCAGGGTAGCTAGACTCTATTGGGTACATTTTTATCCTCCAAGAAGCTCAAGGTGGAATTCCAGCATCGTCCTTCTGCCCCCACCCTCATCAACGTGGATTCCCTCCAGTTGGCGCCAGAGTCCTCTTACCTGGTGGAAAGCGATCAGCAGAGCAGACTAGGCAAAGAGACTTGAGATCACTTGGGCTGCCGTAGTGGTCAAGAAGAGACCCCGGCCATCATGGGAGTGGTTCTGGTCAGCCCTTAGCTGGGAGCTGTCGCCCACAACCAAACGACTGGCATCCGAAGGGAAGAAGCCCAGCCCCATTGTCGTCAGCACATGGTCATCAGTGAGAGGGGACTCCAGAGCGTCAGTGGTGTTGTTCATCTTCTGGAGCAAAGGTGAAGCACATCAGGGTGGAGAGTCAGGAGAAGCAAGCAGCAAGAAAATGTAGGGCAGTCTATGAAACGAGCTGCGGTGGCTCAAGTGGTTAAGATGCTGAACTGCAGGCTATGGAAGGTCGGTAGTTCAGCAGTTCAAGACCCGGGTGCCGCATGACGGAGTGAGCTCCCGTCTCTCGTTCCAGCTCCTGCCAACCTAGCAGTTCGAAAGCAAGACATTGCAAGTAGATAAATAGGGACCGCTTCGGTGGGAAGGGAACCGCGTTCCGTGCGCCTTGTAGTCATGCCGGCCACACGAGCAAGGGAACCTTTAACTTTACCTATGAAACGAGGGAGGTGCCTATTGATGCCACCCTCCAGGTGGGGCCTGGAGATCTGGAAATCCGACTGATCTCCAGAGGACAGAGATCAGCTTCCCTGGAGAAAATGGCTGCTTTGGAGGGTGGACTCTCTCTGGCATTACCTCCCCCCACACACACTGAGGTCCCTCACCCCCCAAAACCATGCCTTTCTTTGTACCCCCAAATCTCCCAAGAATTTTCCAACCCAGAGCTAGCAACCCTAGAGATGTTCCGAGAGAGAGTGATAGAGGATCACTTGCAACATAAAGATATGGGGCTTTCAGAAACCCCAGATAAATGCACAAAGTAAGACTGAGTCTTAAGAACGGGAGAAGAGCCCTGGTGCATCAGACCAATAGCCCAGTTAGTCCGGCAGGGTTGCCAGGTCCCCCGGCCACCAGCAGGGGAGCATCCCGTCTCGCACAGTGGCCCACCAGCTCCTCTGGAGGACCAACAAATGGCATAGAGGCAGAGGCCTTCCCCTAAAGCTGCCTCCTGGGATTCAGAGGATTAATGCCTTTGAATGTGGAAGTTCCCCTCAGTTACCATGGCTAGTAGCCATTAACAGACTTATCCTCTATAAAGTTTAACCTAGTAATAGTCTCAAAAGTTCCTATTTAGTTTCTACCCCACACCCTCTCCTTACAGGTGGCTCAAAGTGGCTTACAACATTTAAAAAGAAAATAGGCTGTTACATGCCCTAGGGCAGTGGTGGCGAACCTATGGCACGGGTGCCAGAGGTGGCACTCAGAGCCCTCTCTGTGGGCACGAGTGCCATTGCCCCAGCCAGGCCTAGACCATCATTAAAGTGTGAAATTCTCTGCCAAATAATTTTAAGTAAATGAAAGCATTTGGGATTGCTTTCCTTCCTTTGTTTGGATCATCTTAAATTAATGTACGAGTTGTTTTTTCTCAAGTAAAACCTCAGTATTCAGGTTAAATTGCCGTGTTGGCCCTTTGTTATAAATAAGTGGGTTTTGGGTTGCAGTTTGAGCACGCGGTCTCTAAAAGGTTCGCCATCACTGCCCTAGGGAATGCTGGAAGACCCCACAGGGAACAAACTTAAATCCCTGAAAACACCCTCACCCTGGTAGTTGACAGGCAGAGAATTTACAGGCCAGGCAGGTGCACAGCCCTGCGAGGATGATTTAAGGAGGCAAGGGGGGTTCAAAAGACTGTGAAGATGGCATTTGGAAGATGTTGGGGAGCAACTGACAAAGGCAGCTGGAGAGACAGGGGGGGGCGGGGGGGGGGGGGGGGGAAGGATTCTAGCATTTCTAGGCCAGAGTTCAGTGCCCTAAAGAAGATATTGTGGCCCCCTCCAGACAGAATAAGTTATTTTTTAATTTCAACATTTAAGAACATAAGAGATGCCAATGTTGGATCAGGCCAAAGGCCCATCCAGTCCAACACTCTGTATCACACAGTGGCCAGAAATACCAGGGGCCATCAGGAGGTCCACCAGTGGGGCCAGGACATTAGAAGCCCTCCCACTGTTGACCCCCCCAAGCACCAAGATGACAGAGCATCACTTGCCCCAGAGTCCCTATCTATACCTTGTGGCTAATAGCCACTGATGGACCTCTGCTCCATATGCTTATCTAATTCACTTTTGAAGCCGTCCATGCTTGTAGCCGCCACCACTTCCTGTGGCAGTGAATTCCATGTGTTGATCACTCTTTGGGTGAAGAAGGACTTCCTTTTATCCGTTCTAACCCGACCGCTCAGCAATTTCATGGAGTGCCCACGAGTTCTTGTATTGTGAGAAAGGGAGAAAAGTACTTCTTTCTCTTTCTTTGTATAGTTTGTCCAGGTTAGAGAATCCACCACCTTTCTGGGCTGATTTTTTTTTTTTTTTTTTAAGATTGCACACAGCCTAAAACAATTTTGGGAAATCGGAGTGAAAGTTTTTTTAAAATTACAGTTAAGGACTAGGATATAGCAGGATAAATCGGATGGGAGAGAGAGACATTAAGAGTGTAAAGCAGGGGTCCCCAACACGACCACAAAAGGACCACCATTGGCGGTGGAGTCACATCCACACTAGGATTGCCAGGTCCCCTCTAGCCACCAGCAGGGGATTGGGGATGGGGTAGGGTGGCCAGATCAGTCCCCCTCATTTTCTCCAGGGGAACTGATCTCTGTAGTCTGGAGGTGACCTGTAATTCGAAGGGACCCCCAGGTCCCACCGGGAGGCTGGCATCCGAAATCACACGGAGGAAGTGCAGGGAACAAGACGAGTGGTTTATTTGGGAAAGGCGGAGGGGCAGACAGAACAGTACCCACCCTGTCCTAGCTACTGCCACCAAAACTACGTTCTTTGAATCTGCACACCCTATCCGATCTCCAGTGGCCAATCAGAAGCCTTGCTGGAAAGGAGCCCCACCCAGTTTCTAAAGACTTGCAGTGCCGGGAAAAGTGTCCACAGGCATCGTGTGGGTGGAGGACCCCTGCCTGACAGCTCCGGCTCCCTGGAATAATCCCTAAATTCGGCCCTAGATCACATAAAGAAGAGTTCCTTGTGTGAAAGGGTCTCTTTGCAACAGAACCTTTTCCCCAAAGAGAAGTGGCTTTGCAAAGCAACAGACTTGGTCTCGGGTCATGCTGGTTCCCCAATTTACCGTGGCTGATTTCAGGCGCCCTCCTCTCTTTCGGCTGTCTCACAAAATACTCAAATGTATATGGGTGGATATGTAGATAAATAGGTACCACTTCGGTGGGAAGGGAACAGCGTTCCGTGCGCCTTGGCGTTTAGTCATGCCGGCCACATGACCACGGAAATGTCTTCGGACAGCGCTGGCTCTTCGGCTTGGAAACGGAGATGAGCACCGCAACCCTAGAGTCGGACTCGACTGGCTTTCGAGCAAGGGAACCTTTACCTTTACTATATGGGTGGGGAGAGTGGAGGTCCAGCTCCTTTCCCTTCTCCCAGCGCCCCCCCCCCCCCGAAGTAACCGGACCCCCCGGAGAACAGTTCTGCCCGCACTCTGAGCTGTCGAATGTGAGCCGGAAGTGTCGACTGCCTCGGACCCGTGAGCGCAGCGCCCCGCTTTCCGGCAAAGTGCCCGGATGCCGCGTGCGCGGTGGCTCCCTTCGCGTCAACGTGACCCGCAGAGGCACCGCCCCTGGGCGGGACACGCGCGCGGGGAGAGCCGGAAGTGGCCGCGGCGGCGACGGCGACTTCCGGTGGGGGCGGGAGGCCGGGTCGGGAGCGACGGACGGGCTGGCTGAGTGACTGAGCAAGGGAGGCGATCGGGGGAGAGTCGCCGCCGCCGCGGCCGCGCAGGAACACCGGGAGCGGCCGAAGGAGGAAGGAAGGAGGACCCCCGACCGCCGCCATGAAGAAGCAGTTCAACCGCATGAGGCAGCTGGCCAACCAGACGGTGGGCAGGTGAGGCCGGGGTGTGTGTGTGTCACTGGTTGGGGTGGGGGAGAGGGAGGCCAGGCCCGTTGCCATGGAGACCCCGCTCTCCCCCCTCCCCCGCCGGCTCGGGGGTTGGCCGGGCCTGGGTCTATTTTAAAAGCCCTTCTTGGCGGGCCCATCCCTCCCTGGGATATTACATACTGCAAGCAAATAAGAAAGCATGGCCCTTCTAGGGGCAGGGGAATTAAATCAGTGCATTGCCTGGGGTCTAGGCAGCGCTTTCACTTTCCGAGAATAGTTCTGTGCGGGATCCGAGGCGGGAGGGAGAAACAATATGAAATATTGTCATGGGTTATAATAAACCTGAAAGCATACAGAGATCACTCAGCCTTGACCACAGTCGACGGTTAGAAACACATTTATTATTATTTTATTTTATTGATTTTTTTCTCCTGGCCTTCCGGCCTAGGCTGGCTCAGGGTGGTTTACAACAGAATGAAAATCTCATAATTCATAAAACACGATTCATTACACTAATACAGTTCTTTAATAAATAATAATACAGTAATATAAAAACTGTTAAAATCAAACATAGGGTTAAAATGCATGTGTAGGGTAATAGTAAAATAAAAATAGGTGAGGAAAATCTGAGTCCAGTTGGCACCTTTGAGACCAACAAAGTTTTAATTTGGGGATTAGCTATTGTATATAAATGCACTTCGAAGAAAGCTTGTATACCCAGACTAAAACTTCGTTGGTCTTCAAGGTGCCAACTGGACTCAAACTTTCTTCTTCTGCTTCAGACCAACATTGTAACCCACCTGAATCTAAAAATTGCTGAGAACAATTCTGAGAATGATGATTCCCCCTGCCTCAAACCTGCATTAGGTTGAGCTCTTTATTATATGGGTACTTTTGGTATTCAATATATTGTCAAAGGCTTTCACGGCTGGAGTTCATTAGTTGTAGATTTTCCGGGCTGTATGGCCGTGGTCTTGGCATTGTAGTCTTGGTGAAATGTCAGATACTACAATACCAAGACTACGGCCATACAGCCTGAAAAATCTACAATTAATTTTGGTATTCCATAACATTACAATCAGCCTTATTTTTAATAGCCTTTAAGTTATTCTGATCCATTGTTTCATTATAAATTTATCCAATTGCATTATGAGTTCTGTGCTCAGGTAGTTCATTTAGGTTTTATTTGTGTAAGCATGTAGTCAGCTTATTGTGTCAGCATTCAGTTATCTTAGTTTACGATTTTCCATTTATTTTATGTAATATAGCTAGTTCATTTATTTCATCTAATAATCCCTATTTATTAGTTATTAGAGATATTTAAATTCAATTCTTAGTTGTTTTACCTCTCTTAATTATTCTGGTGTTTGGAGGTAACATCCAGCCTACATCCAAATACAGACAAATTTTATTTTTGCTTTTAATTTGGTTTAACCACAACATTCATCCCTCATCCTTACACCCATCATACCTGCATACCAGACTTTTGTGGCCTGAGATCCCCATTTATTTGGTTTTAAGTAGAATGAAATCACAAGACTACGTCATATTTCCTTCATGGGGGGGGGATGTTAGCTGTCAGACCTCTCCTACAGAAGGGAATGGTGTCACCCAGAGAGGTAAAGATCATACACTCTTCATATTTAATATCACTCTAGATAGAAATTCACATAAAATCAATGGGGGTCCCAAGGGGGGGGGCAACACTGCTTGCCAGGAAACTAGCCTGGGAAACATATTTGGAAGTGATTGAAAAAGGCTGACCTGCAAAAGTCTCCCCCACTGAAAAAGGAATACCGATGGGTTCTCAGGGACACTTTGAAACTCTTGTATCATTCACTGGGAACACACCAAGTCACTTTGTTCTTAGGCATCCTTTTTTCCCTATAAATGCAAGCTCACATCTTTAATGGCTTGCTTTTTGCATGTGAGGGTGGCTTGCTTGCTTGCTCTTCCATCTATCTCTGCTATACTGAATAATCCTACTCACGTGTAGGCTCCTTGAAGCGCAGGTCGCTTCTCTCTCCACCACAGATCTGAATCTTCCAAGACAGATAAATATAGCTGTCAAGAATATCGGTTCATTCAAAATGGAGGTCTGTTTTAAAAAGTTTGGTTCAGCCTGGCTGAGGCCGTTCTTGCTGAAATTGTTTGTCTCTGTCTCCAGAGTTAAGCAAGTCCTGGTGTTTATGCAGGGCAACCAGGGAGGTGTCGAAAATTACATCCGTGCATTGCTCTGGAGTCCAGGCAGCGCTTTCGCTTATTGATATTTACTTACTTATTTATGGGTCTTGTGCCCCGCCCTCCCCGCAAGCAGGCTCGGGGCGGGTTCCAGCAGTCTCCATACACACAATATATAATGCAATTTGAAACAACAGTTTAAAGCGACGAAGCTCATAAAGCGCCGCGTATAATGTGGCCAGATGCAGTTAGAGGGTTTCCTATGTGGCTACTCAGATCCAGGCCCACCTTGTGTGTGGGTGTGTGGGGGAATAGTTATGTGCAGGACCCAAGGAGGAAGGGAGGGAGAAACAACGCGACATATTATCATGAGGTTACAATCAAAATGCTCCCTCTAAGCTGTGGAGTCTTGTGAGCTACTGGGATTAAAGTTGTGAGCACAAATTGCTTTGGAGCCATCCTTCCTGGGCTGAGATTAAAAAAAAAGTGTGAGCCGGAGGCTAAAAAATGGTGAGGTAGCTCACACCGACTCAGGTTAGAGGAAGCACTGGTCCTAACCAGTGCTCCCTGTAAGCTGTGGAGTCTGGTGAGCAGAAATTCTACTTTGTGAGCTGCTGGCATTAAAGTTGAGCATAAATTGCATTAGTTGGTTTGCTCTGGAGCCATTCTTCCTGAGCTAAGGCAAAAATGTGTGAGCCGGAGGCTGAAAACTTGTGAGCTAGCTCACACTAACTTAGCTTACAGGGGACACTGCTCCTAATCAGTGCTCCCTCTAAACTGTGGAGTCTTGTGAGCAGAAATTCTACTTTGTGAGCACCTGGTATCAAAGTTTTGAGCGTGCGATTTGGCTGCTGCAGAAATGAGTTTGCTCTGGAGCCATCCTTCCTGAGCTGGGACAGAAATGTGTGAGGGAATGCTGGTTACAATAGACGTGAAAAGCTGAGTTAGTGTGAGCTAGCTCACAGTTTTTTAGCCTCCAGCTCACACATTTCACACATTAATGCCAGCAGCTCACAAAGTAGTATTTTTGCTCACAAGACTCCACAGCTTAGAGGGAACATTGACAGAGATCACTCAGCCTTGACCACAATCAACAGTTAGCAACATATGTGTAGGATTATAATAAAATACATAAAATAGGTGGCCAAAGTTTGAGTCCCGTTGACACCTCTGAGACCAACAAAGTTTTATTCCGGGGATTAGCTGTTGTGTGCAGGTGCACTTTGAATAAAGCTTGTACCTTGAATAAAACTTCATCCGTCTAAAAGGCGCCACCGGACTCCACCTTTATTCTTCCGCTTCAGACCAACGTGGCGACCCCGCCTGAATCTAAAAATCATTGAGTGCAGCCCGACTTGAGACCTTAGTTCAAATGAATTGACCATTAAAAGAAAGTTAAAGTCCCAAAGTATATACATTCAAGTCCAGTAGTACCCCAGAGACCCACAAACAATGAGCTTTCAAGGGGCAAAGCTCCCTCCCTCGGGCATTAAAACTTGTTTTGTTGGCATTTAACAGGGCTCTTTTTGTAGCAGGAACTCCTTTGCATAGGAGGCGACACACCCCTAATGTAGCCAACTCTCCAAGAGTTTATAGTAGCCCCTGTAAGAAGAGCTCTGTAAACTCTTGGAGGATTGGCTACATTAGAGGTGTGTGGCCTAACATGGAAAGGAGTTCCTGCTACAAAAAGAGCCCTGAGAGTGATGGCGAACCTTTCAGAGACCGAGTGCCCAAACTGCGACCCAAAACCCACTTATTTATCGCAAAGTGCCAACGCGGCAATTTAACCTGAATACTGAGATTTTACTTTAGAAAAAACAACTCAAACATTAACTTAAGATGATCCAGACAAAGTAAGGAAAGCAGTCCCAAATGCTTTCATTTACTTAAAATTATTTGGCAGAGAACTCGACACTTTAATGATGGTCTGGGCCTGGCTGGGGCGATGGCACGCGTGCCCGCAGAGAAGGCTCTGAGTGCCACCTCTGGCACCCGTGCCATAGGTTTGCCACCACTGGCTTAGGACAATTCTGAGGATGAAGATTCTGCCCGCCGCCAAAAACACAATGCTTCAGACCTACGTTAGGTTGAGCTCTTTATTCTATGGGCAACTGGGCCTGTTTAATTTACGCTGTTCAGTCTCGAAATATATCATTAGTCGTTTCAGAGGGTGGCCATGCTGGTCTTCAGTAGGACAGCTAGATCTGGTTCTGTAGCACCTTTGTTACCAACAAGATTCGGGGAGTCTGAGCTGAGCGTCGAAACTCCCTTTGTCCGTCTCTCAAAAGTTCGTACCCTGGGAATCTTGTTCATTTGGATTTGAATGTAGTCAGTAGAGTTTATCAGTGTTCAGTGGCCATTCCTTCATCACTGTTGCCGATTGAAATGCTTATGCTGTTGTCTGTTATATTTGATCAACTGGTGTGAGTGTCTAGCAAAAAAAACAGGATACACGTTTTATTAGGTAAGTCATCCAGGACCTGAAATTAAAACAGGAGGGCTTCAGGCTTGTGTTTGTCCGGTTGACTTGGAAAGGTTTTCCTCTTACTGGAGGCAGGCAGGCGTGAGGGCTGCGCTCTGCGTTTGTTAGTCCCTGGAGCTGTGAAGAAATGAAGGGCAGCAGGAACAGAGCACATCCTTCTTCTCCTTCCTGGGATGGTGCTTTTCTCAGCAGTCAGTGGGAGTTCTCCTGAAGCGTTTAGGATTTCCGAGTCAACAGAGACTATCGTGCTTGGTTTCAGAAGCCCTGGGTTCAAGTCATACCTGATGGGCTGGTTTCAGGTTGCCATCGGTCCCGGGTTCTCATCTGTAAAATTGAGTTAATG